CCCCAAAACCCCAAAACCCCAAAACCCCAAAACCCCGGGGGATGGAAGGACCTTTGAATGTATTTTTAAGTGGATATGCGTTAAAGATGAGATAAAGAAAGTATTTTAATGAGAGGCTTCTTGTAGTGGTCATGTGGTTGGAAGTGAATTTAGTATTGTGTAATTATTTTTATACCATTGAGTTGAGCTTCCTCAAAGATTTCATTTTTATTATGTTTATTTAATCCTCACCCTCTGATATCCAAGATTTTAAGGCTTGATTTTAAATCTGAAGAGCTTGCCAAGCCTTGAATCAAATTTTTGAATTCATCAAAATTGTTCATCCATCCAGCCCAAATATTTCTTCCTGATGAATTTAAACTTAACTCCTCAACTTTGGAATGGTTGAGTGCTTTTGAGAAGTCAGGAGCTCTCGGAACAGATATCATACAAAAACATAACTGAAGTGCTTTTACATGTCTATAAGATGACATCAATCTCTTTAGCCGGTGAGAATTCAATCTGAATCTCACAAATGTTGCGCTTTGAATCACTTTAGGACTCAGTTTAAGAAACGAATTGATATGTCTATCTCTCTTTAGCCTTCATTTTTCAGATCGAGAGATCCAAAGATGATAAACTTTATTCGGGAATGACAGATTGATGAAATTAATAACATCCCTATTTTAGACTCTAGATCTCTGATAGAGAAATTCTTTATGCTTGCAAGCTTCAAAGATCTTAGGGTTTAGCAAGTCCAATGTATCTCTGGTCTCCAGATGGGAACTTAAAATTCTTATCATCTTGATCTGATTCTATTGGAGAAATTTTCATCTCTTGTAAAAAAACGTTATAGTATGCATTATGACACCTGATTAAATCAGACTCCTTGGCTTCTGTAAGTATAGATTGCTCTATACTGCATAATAAGATGAGATTTAGCAGGGAAATTTTGAATAAATGTCAGAATTGGTCAGAAAAGTTAGAGATTAGCAAATGAGTTGTTTGAAAGATTGAGAGTGTAGATAGGATTGATTATTACATCTATAAATTCTTTAACATTGGTAATAGTTTAAACAAATGATCTTGAGATCTGAGATTCAATATTTGGGAAGGTAATGAGCAAGGGAGAGAGTAAAAATATGAGAGAAATCGATTCTTAAATTTTCAAATATCCAAGCTGATACGAATATCATTATTACCTTATGCTAAATTTTCCACTTCTATTTAATCCTTAACCAACTTTCAATAATATTTAGCCTAAAAGGGGTTTTGGGGTTTTGGGGTTTTGGGG